GGTGCGACGAGTAGGTGCTGCTGTTTTGTTCTGTTTTTGGTGTGCGTGTGTTTGCTGCTGGCGTGTGTGGTGTGTGGTGCTGCTTTGTGTTGCGTGGTGCGTGTTGTGGTGCGTCCAAGTGTACGTGCTGCTGTGTGGTGTGGTGATTTGCTAGTTGTTCTAGTGTGCTACGGTGTTTGTAGTGTTCTGTTTTGCGAGTTCTTTTTGTGGCTTGCTTCGGTGTGGGTAAGCTATTATTGAAGTTTATGCTTGCTCTTTATCTATTTGGCAGTATGGTTCGTGGCATTGTCTTATTTATTTGTTGCTATAGCTTCCTATTGCTTTTGGGTTGCAAATTTAGTGTTTGGTCCACTGGTTGTTTTTTGGTTGGAGTGGTTTGTTCTACATTAGCTGCCACTTTATTTTTGGTGGTGCAATTTGGTGGTATTTGCTGCCAATTTATTTTTGGTGGTGCAATTTGGTGGTTTGTTCTATACTTGCTGCCAATTTATTTTTGCTTCCAACCATATCATTTTATTTTGGGGTTCAATAGCTCAAGTTCTAGTTTGTTGGTTGAGCTAGTTTGGTGGTCTATTTTTATTTTTTGGGTGCTCGACTTGTCGTTTTATTGATTGGCTCGGTGTTCTCTTTCGATGGGGGCTCAATCTCACCGTCCATTTGAGCGTATTACTGACGCAGATCGTAGGAGTGTTCCTACTATCACCGATGAGCAATGGAGAGAACTTCTATCTGTCGTTCAATGCTCGAGTTCTTTGTCTATTCGCACCTATAATTCTGTTGATTGGCTTATTGATTCTGGAGCTTCAAATCATATGTCTGGTAATATTGATTTATTTACAAGTTTATCTAATATTTCGTCTCCTGTTGGTTTGCCTAATGGGAAGAGCCTTACTGCTACAAAAGAAGGGAGAGTTATTCTATATAATTTAACTCTTGATAATGTTCTTTATGTTCTTGCTCTTAAATGCAACTTGTTGTCCATGTCTCAGTTGTTAGAAAAACAATACTATTCTGTTATGTTCACTGACAAGCTATGCATTATTCAGGACCGCAGTTTGAGGAACTTGATTGGAGCGGGGGAGCAGTGTGATGGGGTCTATATTTTTCACTCGATTCGTGCTTGGAATTCTCAGGCAAACAAAGTGGTGATTTCTGATGCGAGTTTGTCATGGCACAAATGTCTTGGTCATCCATCAATGCAAGTGGTTAGTTCTCTTCCGGGAGTTTCTCGTAATTCTCATGATCATAATAATTCTTCTGGTTGTTCGTTTTATTGTGATATCTGTTTTATGGGGAAGCAACCTCGCAACTCCTTTCCATTGAGTGTGAGTAGAGCATCTGGTATATTTGATTTGATTCATCGTGATATTTGGGGTCCGAATAAGATTTTGTCTAGTTGTGATGCTCGGTATTTTCTTACCATTGTTGATGATTTTTCGCGTTCTACTTGGGTGTTTTTAATGGTTGGTAAATATGAAGCTTCTCAGTTGGTTCGTGAGTTTTGTGCTATGGCTAAGACTTAGTTTGGCCGTAAGGTCAAGGTGGTTCGTAGTGATAATGGTCAGGAGTTTCTCAGTTTGGGTTCTTTCTTTGCTAAGAAAGGCATTTTGCATCAAATGTCATGTGTTGACGCGGCTCAACAGAATGGTAGAGTTGAGCGTAAACATCGTCACATTTTAAATGTGGCTCGTGCTCTTCAGTTTTAGACAAAGTTGCCTAAGTATTTTTGGGGTGAGTGTGTTATGACGGTTGTTGATCTCATTAACTGCACACGTACTCCGGTTTTGAATGGTAAAACCCCTCATGAGTGTTTGTTTGGTCAAGTACCGTCTTATGATGGTTTACTGGTTTTTGGTTGCCTTGCTTATACTGCGAATCGTCCTTGGGTTAAGGATAAGTTCGACTCTCGGAGTCGTAAATGTATTTTTGTTGGTTATCCTCACGGAAAGAAGGGTTGGCGTCTCTATTATTTAAGTACGAATGAATTTTTTGTGAGTCGGGATGTACAATTTTTTGAAGATCAATTTCCCTATCTTACTTCCCTTCAGATGATCGTCAGTTGCAATGGGAAAAATATTTTGCTTCACCTTCGGTGTGGGAGGATGATACGGAGTTTGTAGAGACGCAAAATGGTGCTCAAGTTGGGGATGTCGCGGCTGAAACAGTCCACCCCGCAACCAGGCCACGGGAGCAGCTGCCCAGCCGCAACCTGGCTGCGGAGCAGCCTGCTCCTCCTCTTGTACAGTAGCCAGCGATCGCTGGCAGGCCGCTGGAACAGCTAGCACTAGCCACCGGTAAGCCTATTGGGATTCCAGCGGTAGCGTAGCACTGCCAGCCAGCAGCGCAAGCTTGCCCAGCCTGCCAGCAGCGGCAGGTGCCTGCCCAGCCACCTGCTTCGCCACCGCAGGTGGCAGTCTCGCCAGAAGGTTCAGAAGCCTCACCGGAACAAAATCCGGTTAGCTCCGGTGAGGTTAATCATCAAGGTTTAGGCTCGGGAGTTGTTCTTGAGCAAGAAATTGTCGACAAAAATATTTTTATTGATCCGGAATATTTGAGGGGGAGTACGTCGGATAATTTGGGTCGTGGTCATCTGGAAAAATGGCTTCCTTCGTGGCATCGGAATTATGTCACTCATACTATCATCACTGAAAATATAGACCCTTCTACAACACCTGTCGTCCCTCCTCAATCACATTCCTCACAGGTAAACCTTTCCCTATAGCTTGTCATGTTGAATATAATCGTTTTTCTAACAGACACAGGTGTTTTCTGGCGACGATAACTAAGGGAAAGGAACCGTCTTCATTCAAAGAGGCGATTAAAGACGTCGGTTGGCGTAAGGCTATGCAAGATGAGATTGATGCTCTCAAACACAATGGCACATAGACCGTTGTGGATCTTCCTCCAGGCAAGAGGGCTATTGGTAGTGGTTGGGTGTATAAAATCAAGTACACCGACAAATCAAAAGTGGAACGTCTCAAGGCTCGTTTGGTTGTTAATGGCAACCGTCAGGTTGAAGGTGTTGATTATAATGAGACGTTCGCTCCAGTTGCAAAGATGACTACGGTACGTATCTTATTAGTTGTTGTTGTGTCTTTGAATTGGGAGTTACATCAGATGGATGTTCATAATGCATTTCTTCATAGTGATTTGGATGAAGAAGTATATATGCAGTTTCCTCCAGGGTACGACACTCCGACGCCTGGAAAAGTTTGCAGGTTGGAGAAATCTTTATGTGGCTTGAAACAAGCCCCAAGACAGTGGTTTTCAAAACTGTCAAGTGCTCTGCGAGGTTTTGGGTTTAAAAACTCGTATGTTGATTACTCTCCATTTAGCTATGTACAGGTAGTGTCTCTTTGCATGTTCCTGTATATGTCGATGACTTGATAATTGCAGGCTCCTCTCATGATGCCATTGTTCGATTTAAAGCCTATTTGAGCAAATGCTTCTATATGAAGGATTTGGGTTTGCTTAAGTATTTCTTAGGCATTGAGGTTGCTCGGAATCCCGAGGGCATCTTTCTTTCTCAACGAAAGTATGCTCTCGATATTTTGACTGAAGCAGGAATGTTGGGTTGTAAACCCATTGATACTGATGGAGCAGAATCATCGCCTTGCACATGCTTCCGGTGAGCCGTTCGCTCATCCGGAACAATATCGTTGTTTGGTTGGTCGTTTGGTTTACTTGTCGGTTACTCGACCGGAGTTGAGTTACTCAGTGCATGTTTTGGCACATTTTTTTTAGTGTTCCATAGGTTTCTCATTGGGATGCAGCTATTCATGTCTTGCGCTATCTTAAGGGTAGTCCGAGACAAGGTATTTTGTTGCGACCAACGCAAGATTTACGCTTGACGGCGTTTTGTGACAGTGATTGGGCGGCGTGTCTGTTGAGTCGGCGTTCCTTGTCAGGTTATTTTGTTTTCTTAGGTCGTTCCCCTGTTTCTTGGAAGACTAAGAAACAGCCTACTGTCGCTACATCCTCCTCTAAAGCCGAATACAGGTCTATGGCTCTCACTTCTCGTGAGTTGAAATGGTTGAAAATATTGTTGTTTGTTCTTGGTGTTAAGCATTCAAAGCCTATGTAGTTGTTTTGTGATAATCAGTCGGCTTTGCATATTGCTAAGAATCCGGTGTTTCATGAACGTACGAAACATATAGAGGTAGACTGTCATTTTGTTCGTAATGAGTTGATAAACGATAATATTTCTACTTCATATGTTTCAACATGTCATCAGTTAGTTGGCACATATTCTCACCAAGGCTCTTGGACGTCAACAATTTGGTTTTCTCTAACGCAAGTTGGGCATTCGTGACCTACATGCTCCAACTTGAGGAGGAGTATTAGAGTTGGTTTTGGTGTATTTATGTTAATATTGTATTTATGTTAAGTTTATCGGGTTAGGAGTTTTAGGCTAACTAAGTTTCCTTATGTATTGTGTATATATATATGTGTTTATGATCAATACAAAGTTAAGCCGTTTTCTCCACAATATTCTTGAGTTTAACATTCACGCTTTATCAATAACTATATACTAAAAGACACACTAGCCATGACACGTGTCATTTTTTGGTGTGTCTTTGGTATATTTTTTTTTATTTTTTTAAAAAAAATTATTTAAAGAAGGAGATATTTTGCATATATTTAAATAATAAATATAAATATTTCGATGATTAGAGAAATTATATGAAAAAATACAATCTATCTATAACTAATACTAAAAGCATAACCGCGGACATCATTTATTTATCCAAATTGTACACGTGTCAACTTCTCCTTTAAAATTTTCCCGCCTAATTTTTTTTTTGTTTCGCATTTTTTTTGAAAAAAAATTAAATACCGACTACAAAATGTTTTAATACATAATATTGTACATTACTCTTCACAATTTTTGTAATAAGCCTTTTGACAACTGTTTACCTAATATCTTATGATTTTTTTATGGAGTATTATTTAAATAGCTTTTTTTTTTCATGATATCCGTGCATCGCACGGGAGCTAATCTAGTATATTTAAATTAAATAATCACCAAATAAATATCTACTAAATATACCATGATTGTCTTAACATATATATTACGGTTGATATGCAATCTTCCCTTGAAAAAAAAAATCTTAGCTAAACATATTATTATGGTTGATATGCAATCTTCCCTTAAAAAAGACAAATAAATCTTAGCTAATCATATTATTATGGCTGATATGCAATCATCCTTAAAAAAATAAAATAAAATAAAAAAATCTTAACTAAACATATCATATTATTTTAATATATATTACCATCATTGATATGCAAACTTCCCTATATACTCCGTATGGAGTTATATGAAAATTTATTGTCTCTTTAATGCTTGTACTATTGAAATACGAGTAGTAGAAACATGTTGGCAACACTCATAGTACAACATTATTAAATTTTTAGCCTCGACTTTAATATTACTTGTTAGCAATTCAATTCAATAGATAAGAGGATTCCAATTTCTATGTGGTGTAATTCATGTATTCATTTTTCAGCACTCAAAAAGCTCTTGCAGAAACACATCCAAAAATATAAAAATGGAAACTCTAAGTAGTTTATATCTAATAAACTTCCTGCAAGAACTCATTTTCCACCCTTTATTCCTTTCATTCATGCTCTTTGTAATCTTGTTATACAAAAGTCTCTCTTCAAATCCTAGTAATGGCAAAAACTTACCGCCTTCGCCTCCAAAGCTGCCAGTTATAGGGAACCTCCACCAGCTTGGTCTGTTACCTCATCGTTCTCTTCAGTCACTGTCTCGACGATATGGTAAGGTTATGTTGCTTTGCTTGGGAAACAGACCGACCCTTGTCGTGTCATCTGCTGATGCAGCTGAAGAAATTATGAAGACTAATGACTTGATCTTCTACAACAGGCCTAGCTTGCGTAATGCCACTAGATTGTTCGATGGTAAAGATGTGGCTTTCGCTCCTTGTGGAGAATATTGGCGACAGATGAGGAGTATTTGCGTTATGAAGCTGTTAAGTAACAAGAAAGTTCAGTCTTTTCGAAAAATAAGAGAAGAGGAGGTTGCTGTGATGGTTGATAAGTTGAATAGTTTAGGTTGTTCAGTGGTAAATCTAGCAGAATTTATTGTGTCATTCACATATGATGTGATATGCAGGGCGTCATTTGGAAGGAAATATCGCGATAATGAGGGTGACATCAATTTTAAGAATTGCATAGAGGAAGGTATGAAGTTGCTCGGGACATTCTTTTTGGGAGATTTTGTACCTTGTCTTAGTTTGATCGATCGAGTAAAAGGTTTGGAAGGACGATTGGAAAAAGTGGCACAAGAGTTGGATGCATTTGTTCATAAGGTAATAAAAGAACATCAATTTCATCTAAGCACTAACAAAAGTATTGTTTCAGATAATTTTGTAGACATTTTGCTTAGAGTTCATATGGACAACAAACATGATATGTCACTAGATAGCATCAAAGCCGTTATATTGGTAAGAAATTGTTGTAATTTTCTTTTTCTATTCACAAGCTAGCTCATATAACAGAGTTTAAATTACAAAACTCAAATATGTATCAACTATGTACAGGATATGTTTGCAGCAGGGACTGATACAACTTATACCCTAGTAGAATGGGTGGTTATTGAGTTGATTAGAAATCCTAGAGTGATGAAAGAACTACAAAAAGAGTTGAGAAAAATTGTTGGAGGGAAAGGTCGTAAGGTATGTGAGGATGATTTGGAGAAACTAACTTATCTAAAAGCTGTGATCAAGGAAGCACTTAGGATACATCCACCAGGTCCTTTGTTGGTGATTCGGGAGTCATTGCAAGACAGCAAAGTAAATGGTTTTGACATCGATGCAGGAACACTAGTGATCATCAACGCGTGGGCAATTCAGACAGACCCAATATATTGGGAAGAACCAGAGCAATTTCGTCCTGAGAGATTCCTGAACAGCAGCAATTTAGCTGATTTCAAAGGGCAAGATTTCAGATACATTCCTTTTGGAGCAGGCAGAAGAGGTTGTCCAGGGATATCATTTGCCTTGGCTAATGCTGAACTCGTGATCGCGACTCTTCTCAACGAGTTTGAATTGACACTTCCTGGTGATGTGCAGATTGAGAAGATAGACATGACAGAAATTACAGGTCTTACAGTTCGCAGACGAGATCCTCTTATGGTTATTGCAACACCTTCTGCTTATGTTCTTGAGCAAATGTATGCTGATCCAATCTAGGATTAATGGGTTACAAGATAAATTCAAATCTAATACGAAGTAGATGATTTGATTATGATCCTTCTCTGGCGCTGCCCACTGCAAGGAATTTAAGAATTGTATGTTCAATGAACTTCTGTACTGTTAAGATGTATAGCGTACTCTGTAGATATTAAACAAACCACAAATCCAGATAATTTGAAAACCAGCAAAATTAAACCCTAAGTACAAAACTTCAACAAATTTCTCAATTAGTTTTGAGCATTAAATAAAACTAAACCAATATATATACTTCATATTTTATAATTTTAGATAACAAAGACACAATAATAAATACTCCATACTAGTCTTAAAAAAAATAATAAATAAATAAATAAATAAAAAGGTTTAAACCACAGAATCTGATACTCACTTCGTGATAATGGATGCTTCAGTGCATGTGCATTACTACCATCCTAAGGGGAGTAAGGCGAGCAACTCTTATACATAATAATCACTTTTGGTTATGTAGTCAACCTCACTTATGGGATTGACTTTAATTAATTTGATTGATTCTAGAGACAATTTTGACGGCCCTCATTGCAGCGCCAATACAATTTGAAAGTACACGATAAGTCCTCCGAAGTGCATGAACCATAAACTATTGAAATAGGTGGTTTTTACATTAGCGTTAAAATGTATAACCTTTAAAGCAGCTGATGTGTTAAACAAAGGAGCTCTGGGATTGCATCCCCAATGTAGAGTAATTGTCTTAGGTTGGGGCAATTGAGGTAAACCTCCTTAATCCATAAACTCCAAGCTTTAAAAACTCTAGATTTGGACAATCAATACTCATGTGGTTCACTTGATCCTCCTTTGGAAAGGGAATTGATAATTTCCTTAGATGATGACTAACAACTTTAAACCTCTCCGCAAAGCTCAATCCATTAAAAAACGAAAATGTCCATGTCCTCAATGAGTGGAAATGTAGTTGTAAGCTCTACAAACAGATTGGGTGGCCCGTGGCCCAAACATGCACTCTGACACGATAAGTTCTCTGATACTACGACAAGCAGTTGCAAAGAACTCACGAGTATTGAAATTGCATTTGAAACTCTCAAGACTATCCTTATCAATGGAAATAATATTGAGATTGCCATGACAGTTAAGGATAGAAACTTTCTTTAGCCTAGGAAATACAGAAAGCTCAAGAGAATAATCCCAAAAAGCACATTGATCAAACTCCAAAATTTCAATCCCAGGACAATAACGCGTCAAATTAATTATAACTCCCTCATCCAATGCAACATGCAACAAGGACAAACGTTGCTCCTGAAATTGTTGCCAACCAGACTGCCAAATTTGTCCCTCTATACTCATTAGTTTGTACAAAAATGCCCAACTCCTCAACCTTAATTTACAGACCAAATCCATCAATTGATCCACACGAGAGAAGCTCTTAGAATCTTCTACTGCCACATTCAATGTTAAATCTTCGCAGAGCTAATTTTTGATGTACCACTCTGGACAAGTTATACTTAACAAAACTCACGAATTCCTCCCTTATTTCACGAATATTAGGTTCGTGCCTGCTGGAATTTCCAGCAGCTATAAGACATTTCAACCAAAATAAATTATGATCTAAATGTAAAATAGGATACGAATTGGTAAAACTTTTCCAGGTTTTGGACAATATGGAAGTTCAAGCTGCATCTTTCAAGGAAAGATTATCAAGTATCTCATGGATGATGTGTTCCGACAACCATGAAATCCGGTCTAACTTTTCATTCTCGCTCAAAATACACATCCTCTTCGCACATAATCTTATTGCTCCATAATCTTCCCTATCCTGCATCTATTTTTTGAAATAAATACACTTTACGCCATACAAAATAATGATAATCTTAAGCATTTATCAAAAAAATCACCATTGGTTCAACCAAGAAAATTTCGAAAAGGGTCCAATTTCGGGTTATGCAACACACTAGCCACCAAATTTGATTCAATTATCAAAAATAGGCTTGAATATCGCATAATTTTGATAGAAAAAGGTTCAATTTCATAGTTTCATCTTAACATTGAAGGCAAATTTGATTCAATTATCAAAATAGCCTTGAATACAATTTTATATAGAAAACATAGTCCCATCTTAACATTAAAGTCAAATTTGATTCAATTATCAAAAATAGGCTTGAATATCGCATAATTTTGATAGAAAAAGGTTCAATTTCATAGTTTCATCTTAACATTGAAGGCAAATTTGATTCAATTATCAAAATAGCCTTGAATACAATTTTAGATAGAAAACATAGTCCCATCTTAACATTAAAGTCAAATTTGATTCAATTATCAAAAATAGGCTTGAATATCGCATAATTTTGATAGAAAAAGTTTCAATTTCATAGTTTCATCTTAACATTGAAGGCAAATTTGATTCAATTATCAAAATAGGCTTGAATATCGCATAATTTTAGATAGAAAACGTAGTCCCATCTTAAAATCAAAGCCAAATTTGATTCAATTATCAAATTAGGCTTAAATATTGCATAATTTTAGATAGATAAGGTTCAATTTCATAGTTCCAGCTTAACATCAAAGCCAAATTTGATTCAATTATCAAATTAGGTTCGAATAACAACAAACCTTAGCAATAATAAGCAAACATTTCAATAATCAACTTTAGACGAACCTTAAACTGACTATACCGAAGAGAAGGATATAGAAGCTGCTGAGGATACAGCTAAGGAAGGGAATAATAGTACTAAGGAAGGGAATAATAGTACTAAGGAAGAGAATGTGACAACTGCTGCCAATTAGAAGGCCGTTATTTACTTTTGTCTTTTTCTTATTGTGTCCTGTGATAGTCCAAGGTTTCTGTATCAGCTGAATCAAGGCTATTTAAGCCAATAGGATGTAATGGCAGGGTATGCGGATGATTAATGAAAACTTACCTTCTCTAAAATTCTCTCTCTACTCTCTATCTCTCAATTGCCATTGCTTATTATTTGATTAAGTCCAACAAACTGCCTTTCATTCTTATTTGGCTGGTTTTCTGGGTTAATCATAGCCTGTCATCATTCCATTTTAAGGATCTGACCGATAAATTGTACAATCTCCATCACTGGTATCAGAGCAGACCTCCCTTGGACTGTGTTCATCATGCCTATCACCAGATCATCATCTGATTCCTCTCAGCTTGGATCTTCTGATGTGAAGAAACTGGAGAATTCCTTGAAGTTCATGCTGCAGGAACAAGGTAAAAAACTGGATGCTGCTTGTAGAAACAATAGTTTGAATATTTATAAAAATTGTAAATCAATTTCTGAACTCAATTATTTGATTCTTGGTCTGTCTATGCAAATCACTAAGCTGGTTTCTGATAAAGCAACCCAAACCAACACCAACACCCTTGTGATTAATGACACAGAGCCTGACCCCCCTCCTAAACACTCTCACTATTCTGCTCGTTTAACTAAGGTAGATTTTCCTAGATTTAATGGTACAAACCTTAAATCCTAGATCTATAAATGCAACCAATTTTTTGACCTAGATAAGGTAGAAGATCCTGACAGGGTCAAATTAGCTGCTATCCACCTTGAAGATAAGGCCTTGCTGTGGCATCAGACTTATAGCTTAAGAAAAGAGCATGTTTTACCTAAATGGAATGAATATGTCAAGGACATTACTGCTAGGTTTGGTGATCTCTATGATGATCCTATGGCAGACGTTAAATCTCTTAAGCAAACTGGGAGTGTGCAGGAGTATCATGATGCCTTTGATGCCCTTGCTAGTCGGTTAGATCTGTCAGAGCCTTATTTACTCAGCTGCTATCTTGCTGGCCTGAAGGAAGATATTCAGTTGGCAGTGAGAATGTTCACTCCCTCTACCTTACAGCAAGCTCTTTGTTTGGCTAAGCTACAAGAAGCTGCTAATGAAGCAAGAAAACCGAAGCCACCACCCAAACAACCACCACTTTTGCCTAACCCACTTACAAGATCCCCAAATCAACCTTTCACACCCAAACCCTTCCAACTACAAAGAACCCCAAACACCAATCCCACAGCCTACCCAAACACCAATCGAAAAACCCTTACTCCAGCTGAGTTCAGTGAGAAAAGAGCAAAGAATCAATGCTTTTGGTGTGATGAAAAATATGAAGCTGGGCATAAATGTAAGGGTAAGAAGCCTCAGCTGTTTCACATTGAGGTAGAGGAGCTGGAAGATGATGAAGAGGAGAAAGAAGAGTCAGAAGTTGAGGAACCAGTTTGTGCTCATATCTCTATACAGGCCATGGAAGGTATGACTGCATTCTAGACCATGAGGGTAGCAGGACATCATGGCAAGAAAAAGTTGCAACTGCTGTTGGATAGTGGCAGCACTCATAACTTTATAGACCTTGAAAAAGCTTTAAAGCTTGATTGCAAGGTGGAAGCCATTACCCCACTTTGGGTGAAAGTAGCTGATGGGAACCAGATGCAGTGCAGTCAAATTATTAAAGGTTTCAGCTGGAAGATGCAGGGATTAGACTTTTCAGCTGATGTGTTCTTATTGCCACTGAGTGGAAGTGACCTTGTCTTGGGTATTCAATGGTTTATTCAGCTGGGGCCAGTCTTGTGGGATTTCAGTAGCTTGACCATGGAATTTCAGCACCAGGGAAGGAAGATCAAACTGAGGGGGCAAGACCCTAAGAAATGGAAGGAAACTCAACCCAAGGCCCTCCAGAAAATGCTGAACCAAGGTGGATCCCTCTCCATGATGCAAATAGTACCTGCAGATGTTTCTCTCTCACCCATGCCACCCCAGAAAGAAGAGCAAAGCTATGATCCTACCTTGTCAGCCCTGCTAAGCCAATTTGCAGATGTATTTACACCCATCCCAAGTCTTCCACCCTCAACAGTTGGATTTGATCATGTCATTCCTTTAAAGGAAGGCACTGACCCAATCAACTTGAGAGCATATAGATACCCTGCATTTCAGAAGGATGTGATAGAGGACATGGTGCAGGAGCTTTTAGATCAGGGAGTGATAAGACCCAACAACAGTCCATTTGCTGCTCCTATTGTGTTGGTTAAGAAAAAGGATGGGAGTTGGAGAATGTGTGTTGACTACAGGAACTTAAACAAGGCTACCATCAAAGATAGGTTCCCTATACCTATAATTGATAAG